CCTCGAAGACATTAGTGAATAATGATAGATAGATTGATAATGTAAGGCCGTTGATAAAAAATACTTATCAGATCTTAAATATAAGACTTTTATATAGTGTATATAAGGGTTTTATATTTATAATTAAAAAAGTAACATAGAAATGGTTCCAATAATAGCATTACATGGAGGCTGAAGTAAGGACATAGCATACTTAAAGCATAGCCTAACCTATTTAGTAAATAAGCCAAATTCACATTCAAGTTTATTTATATAAACATGTCATGCCTATTTTCTTAAGATCTGACTTACAAGTTTGGCCTATTTAGTTTTTTTTTTAAAATTTGCACTATTATATACTACCTCCGGTCCTTATTATAAGACCCCGTTTGACTTTTTGTTTGGTCCTAATTATAAGACCCCAATCCATTTTGTCTCTCATATTTATGCATTTTTTTTCAAGATAATCCTTCTAATAATGATAGTTCTAGTCAATATACTTAATTAGCAAGGATATTTTAGGAATGACAACACTTATTTATTACAAATAACTAACTTAACTTACTTCCTTAATCTCCTCAAATAAGTCAACTGGGTCTTATAATTAGGACCGGAGGTAGTATAATACAATCTCAATCATGTGTGCATTGTAGCTATTTTTTATGAAAATCTCTTTCCTATGAGCTATCAATAAAGATACTTAAGTTTGGCCCAAAAAAAAAAAAAAGAATAGAGATTCTTAGAGGAAAAATTATAAATTTTTTGCCACGTATAAGTATCCTCTTTTAAAAACAATCTTATTCAAGTCGTTATTAGACATTAATATAGGTACCTCTTCTAACGAAAAAAATCTGAACTTTAATTTGTCACGTTACGAAGAACTAGTTTTTTTATTAGACTTAACTCTTATTGATAAAAAATCATAAATTTAATAAACAAAGTAAATTGGAATTTTAGGATTAGGATTAAACTTCTTGTCTGGAAATAAAGTTGTTAAATGAGTGTCATATTGGGGGTAGTAGTAGTAATAGTACTAATAATAATAATAATAATAATAATAATAATGTGGAGCACAATATCAGTTAAATATTTTATCAGGCTTTATTATTGAGCGGATAAAAATTAATGCTTTTCCAGGAGGACTGGAAAGTGACATGTTTAAGAGAAAACGCAGAGGCATGACATGAGGCATGCTTCGGGCCTCAATTTTAAATTTCTTAAGATGATAATAAACTCAATCTAAGTATAGTTTATCCATTTTAGTACACAATTTATCAGCTTTCAGGATAAATTATTCTGAAAATATCATAATAAAATGTACTATAAATTACGAAGGCTGATCCATCTTAAGTTTCTTGTTAATGCATGTACGTCACTCTTTGTATTTGAATTTAATGAAAAATTAAATATGATTTATTTAATGAGAACCTTCGAGCAGCATATTAATTAATTAAATGTGATATGCATTTATTATGGCCAATGACATGAACATTTGAACCGAACCGAATTGGGAGGCGGTCGCTTTCTCAAAGATCCCATCGGACCTACAAAAGCCGCTGTTGAATTTTCCTCCAGATTGCACTTATCTGATTTTTTTTATTATTACTTCCAATTTTTAATATAAAAATTTATTTAATTTTTATTTTAGTCATAAATATAAAATTCTAATCCATTTTATCTTCATATTTGTCTATTTGTTGTTAAAATAATCTTTCTAATAATAATAGTTTTAGTTAGTAAATTTGAGTAGCAAAGATATTTTAGGAAAGACAATACCTATTTACTACAAATAACTAACTTCAATTATTTTTTTAATCTACTCAAATTAGTCAACTAGCTTTCATATTTAGGATCGAAAATAGTATATATATGTGTATGTATTGCTTTCGGTTGAGCTAGTTAGGTTCAACTCTAAATGTGACTTCCATAAAAAATAAAAATCCTAAATATATGACTTAATATATTTTATCTTTTAAATTTATAATTTATCGTCTAAAACATTTCTATTGATTATATATGTATATAAATCAACTTTCGATAGCCATGATTAAACAGTATATAAATCAACTCATATTTATTATAAGTCTTAAGTGACTTAGGAAAATTTTCAGTTTATGCCAAATAAAAAAAATATAAATCAGCTCATATTTATTATGAATAATTAATTTTATTAATTTTATTAATTTTTTTAAATTAATTAAATAATTTTTTATATTAATGACATAAAATAGTACAATGTTTAATTGACAGTTTGTACTCGATTGGCAAACACAGGTAGAAACTTGGGGAGGCAATACCTGTATGCTTTTTGGGCAGGGCAGATTTGGGGACCCCACCCGGAAAAAAAGGAAGAAACTAAATAAGAATACCCCACACGCGCTCACGGTCCCAACTCTCATACACGTTTACGTAAAAAAAAAATAAAAAAAAAATTGCTTACAGGAAAATATGAATCTTCATCAATAAAAAATGTGAAATCTAATATTTATATTATACATGTTAAGTTTTTCAACTAGATTGTTTGGGAAAACATGGAGAATAAAATTTTTGTTGTTGTTTGGCAAAACATACATAAATTTATCATAATAATTGAGTGATTACTTTCATAAATATATTTTTAAGTAAAATTATTCATAAATGCAAATATGATATCTCTATTTATTTTATCTCCTACATTTATAATTTCTTTTCAAAATATTTCTGTTAATTGTATATATTAAAGGATTCTATCAAAAATAGTTTCAATGCACATGATTAACAAGAACATTTTAGAAAAACTAATACTAATTTATTACAAATAATTAATTTAACTAATTTTTTAATATTCTCAAATTAATTATATAGCTCCTATATTAATGATCAAAGTTTGAAGGTAATACTAATAAGTCTCAAGGTATTCAATATTTACGAGTCAAATTGCATAATTTATAAATATTAAATTTATTGGAACTTATTAGTAAAATTCATTGGGATCAAACATTGAACTTTTTATAGTTATATGTATTGACTTATGTTTCATAAAAATTAAATATTTATCCTAATCTTTTGTTCAAAAATTTATCAATATGTTTATACTACAAGCATAAAATTTCTACATGTTCTTTATACTTTTCAAAACTAATATATTAAATATATGATTTAAAATAACATATTTTTCATTTCCTTAATATGTTTTAAAATAATAAATCATTACTGTCTTATATTTTTCTGATTATAAAATTATTGTAATAAAATTATTATACTTTGTCTGTGTGTGTTATTATTTTATCAAGATTATATAATCTTCATCCGTCTTTATTCTTTGCCGAAAAAGACAAACAGACTCATTGTATTGCAGGAGGCAAAAACCAATTTGTTTTTTACCATAGAGGGGCCAAGCAAGCATGTTTTATGGGTGTGATCATCTTAGATTTTTTCTAAAAAAAATGATTTTCTGTCTTAGATTTCTTATCTTGTTTTATCTAAATTAACAAAAAAGTAAATTGAAAGGATCTACCTTTTTCAAAATGTCTATCTGGAACAAGTATTTGGATCCCATGAAGCTACTATTTGGTACAATTGTTTAATCAAGTGAGTTTTTGTTGGTATTTGGGATCTAGTATTTCGTTTAGCAGAAAGATAATTATAAATAAAAGTTTAGGTCAGACAAGATTCATCAATGTCACTAGAATAAGCATTTTGTTTTGAAAATTGATCATAATTTTTTTTTTTTGGCCAGCGTTTGTAATAGTATTTACTGCTCATTACCTACTTCTGTCTCTATTTAAGGGGTGTTTGGCAAAACCAAAACCTAAGTTTCAGAATCACTTTTCCGCAAAACGAGGTAATCTCCTCTACATATTTACTTCGTAATCCGTAAAAGCACTTCTAAAACCATGGTTTGGTTTCTATCCAAAATGGGTTTATGTTGTTAGTGAGACCCAGTATTTCTTGACAAAATCAATTAAATTATACAAGACCCCCTGAATTCTAAATCTTACAGAACTTTCATAATCTTTAAAGCTTTACAATAAAATTCCTAAATTCTTTCATTTATGCGAGTAACTCTGGTATAATTAATTTTGTATATTAATTATCAGCAAATGATTTAAAATTTAAGAAGATTATCTACATATCAATCAAATTTTGAGGGCTTTATGTGTACATAAAAATGTAGTTTAAGGATTATATAATTGATAGTTGAGGATTATCAATATAAACTCAAAAGCTCATTGAGGTTTATTATTAAGTTCTAAAAATTAAGGGATCATTTGTACATGATTAAGAGTTTTGTGTGCTTTAACTTGTTTATTTTCAATAAAAATTTGGGTTAGTTTAGACTAGTCTTACTAACATCTTTAAAACAAGCTTGATTGTTCAATACACGATCACTTATTATCAACCAACATGATTTTTGCATTATTAGCATGATTATTAGATTTAAGTCATGTTTTTATCGATTCAACCAATTTTTTATTGGAAATATAGAAATGATTTGATTATTACAGCGAAAAAGTGAAATCGTTGCTTTCCAACTTTTTTTTTTTGGTTATAATAATGAACTTTTAGTTATTAATGAAAAAGTAACTTTGTGTTATTTATGCATGTTTTAATTACTTGATCATCACAATTTCGTTTTCAATTATCTCTTGTCTTAAATTTTTTTTTTAAAAATCTTCCTTTATTTAAGTTAACAACAGGTAAATTGAATGAAAGGAACTGCTCTATTATTCAAAATCACTGGGGACCCTTGCCCAAAAATAAAAGTCGTTTGAGACAATAATATGATTTTGATACAATGGAGGTACTATTTAGTACAGTTATTTAATCAAGTGGGTTTCTGTTAATATTTCCTTCCAGAAAGATGATTATTTTAATCTTCCTTTATGGGTTCAGACCAGCCCTCTAACATCACTAAAGTAAGCTGGTCAGCATTTGAGATAGTTGTTCATCATGAAATTAGATTATTTAAATTCATATTTCGAATTTATTTAATAATTTATTTTTATACATATAATATTATTATTTCACCTCTAACCAGGTAAATAATAAAAACTATGATCCAGCGACTTTTACAGTAAATATCCCATCCAACTTTTAAAACATTAATTTACACGTAAAAGCTACTTTTTTATCTATTGTAAACAAAAAGACCAAAGTGAAAATCACAAAAGGGATAATGAAAAATGGCCCGGGTCCCAGCAGATGCCATACTTGCTACATAGCAGTTTTGGCACAAGTCCAGTTCACTTCCCCAAAGGGAGATATTCTTAGGCAAAACCAGTTCACAAAAATGTTGTCATCGAAGTAAATTAAGAAGGGATGCACACTTCTCCATCAGACCCACCTCGGTCATGTCCCTATTTTTGATAGACTTCATTCACTGAATTTTTCTGTAGAGCTTTGCTGGCTTAAGATTTTCATAACACTATTAACTTGCCAGCCAATGATTGAGTGACGTTCATGGGTTCTTCGGGAAGCCAATGGACTGCAAGAATTTCTTCTTTCAAGATGTGTCATGCACGGTGGGATAAGTGGGTTGGACAGAAGTACCATGTGAACGGAAATGCTTTTGATCATGGCAAAAAATATGCAGAGATCTCCCGCGAATCATAATCCACCAAGTGGGGACTCAAGGGCGTGATCATCCACCAACCAGAGGCCATAATCACGAAACCGTTTTGTCTTCTTCTCGAAACCTATGATATAGTTGTTGTGAATTATAACGTGCTTTCCTTTAGTCTCCTTAACCCAGGTCTTGTTCTTGAAATACAAACCTCCTGTGGGGAATGCAGGCTGGGGCAGCAAGTACAGGTCCACCTGCAGAGAGTTGCATGAAGACGACAAAAACAGCTTCACTTCAGATGCTTTTCAATACATCAATAGAAATTTGCTTATGATGGTATAATGTTCGGAAATGCAAACTTAATTATAAACAAATTGAACTCCTTTGCAAAAATGATAAAAGAAGATTGCGCATTACAAAAAATCATAAACTGACTTCTAGACAATAATAAACTCAATTCTACAGGAGCTTCACTTAGTTTTCCAGACAAATTCGCTGACTCTTCGATTGCATTAAACTCACTACTATATGAGATTTGGGTTCATCCTTCTAGCGCACATATGAGAACCGTTGAAGCAGATTTATAGCACTTGAGAACTATAATCACAAACATAGATGAGAAGTGCAAATTGACAGTTCATTCATAAAGAGAATTTTGGAGTCTATTATTGACAGGAACCACAGCAAAACCCCTCCTCCCAATGACAATTTGCCTCCTCTGGTCATTCCTTGATAACCCAGGAGAAACAAAGGATTGATTTGTCTTGAGTTGGCATGGAAAAGTAATTCCTGTATTCTGCTTTTCAATTGAGAAAGGAAACTGCATATCCCTCATTTATTTTCATGTAATAAATATCTTCCATAAACACTACTCACATTATCATCAGATAGATTAGCGAGAATTTGCCCGTAAACCTCAGAATAAATGACTCTATAGTTTATACTGAGCACAGCCCTTTAAATCCTATTATTCTAATGGAAATATCGAAGTTTTCTTTATTTAAAAAAAAAAAAAAAAAGCTTACTTCTCACATGAGTTTGCAGTATAAGTAACATAAAAACTAAATCGGAAACTAAGCCAAATGGGACAAACGTTACAGACCTCTTTAGCAGCCTTCATCAAAGCCCAGTTAAAAGCAGGCTGATCATTAGATTTCTTGGTCTTAGACCATGGCTGAAGCTGAAGTTCTTCAATCCACTTTTTCATAACTAGCTTAGCTCCATCAGTAGTGCGCAGGAAAATCATGCAACTGCATATGTAAGGGCGCCCCTTTTTCCCTGGTGGTGGTAAATCATGAGAGTGGTTTAATGGTTTGATCTGGTCAAAAAAAAGAAATGAAAAGAAATCAATGAGATAAGAATACAGCATCACATTGCAAGGACTTCAGAAGGGGAAAAGCCCTGCTAGAGCCTCATTCGTTAGAATCATATGAATGCGCTTTAGGAAACACCAACATTTCCCAAGTATGTATCCATATATGAAATCCAGGTCTTTGAAATTATTTGAATACATATTTAGGGAACACAAGCAGGTCCCAGGTATGCCTCCACCAGATATGATACCCAAGTCTTTGAAGGAATTCGAATACTTATATAATCATCTATTCTAATATCGAACAGCAATCAAAATCCCGAAGGACCAAATAAGGAGGAATCCTATACATGCTGAACTGCTACATGACTACATCAAGTAATGCCATGGATCTTAAGTTTTATTATCAGACAAGCTTTAATTCACGGTTAAAAAGAAAAGGAGAAAGAGAAGAGTTAATCAGAATACATACTGGCCAATCAATACAATTAGAATTCTCATTTTTGCGAATATTATCTGCATCTAGGTCCTTCAGTGAAGATCTAGTGAAATAACATATACTTTGAGTCATCCTCCACAAAACTGTACTTCCTTATATTTAACAAGTAACAATAGTTTGAGGTGATAAAACAGGTAATCCCCTTATACTATCCCATCCCAGAAGCCAAAAGTAGCTCTGCATGATTCGATGTAGATAATAATTGATATGAAGCAAAAATGTACCAGACTTATATTCACACACTTACTGTAGTCATATCATCTGTAAAATACACATCATGACTCCCTTCCAAATAAGGAAATGGATCAGCCAACCAAACCATATCAACATCATTGTACATAACATTGTATCCAAGCTCCAAAATCTGCAGTAGATGGCGTGGTCTCCTGGCTGTAAAGTTGAAGAAACCCTAGACAAAAAAATAAACAATTGATTCTCAGAATCAGCACCGTGTATCGTCAAGAAATGGATCCAATTAATGATTTCATTACAGATGCAACCAAGTAACAATAGATATCTTCTTATATTGCTGAGAGACAGATAGCCAAAAGTTATCTAGTCTAGAATCTGATGAACACTCTTCATAACCAAAGGAACCGCATTCAATTTGTAAGGCAGGATGAATAATGCTAACATAAAATCAAAGCAGTTTTTCGTGCCACAATGCGTCAATTGAAAAAAAAAAGGGGTTATGCTACACATTCTTACAAATCAGCGAAGGCAGGCGAAATAGATTAGCAAATCAGCAATTCTGCGTCTTAAAATGTATACGCAATTAAAATGGCAGCTTTCGTTATGGAAACTGGAAAGGGGAAAAACTAACTTGCTACTTCGTCGATTATGCAAAGTAAAAGAACGATAAACTCAAATCACGAATTACCCGCTTCTGAGTCACAACTAAACTCTAATAAAATCAATATCAACTTCAGATGCCTATTATTGAAATATATAGAACACTAGAATCAACAAAATAAGACTAAACTAAAAATTTCATACTGGCATTGTTAGAACTAATCGGCTCTAGTATCTGAAAATTGAAAATTAGAGAATACATAAGCTCGTCTTAAAAATGGTCCCTTCAAGTAACTAGACGAAAGAAAGAACTATCCTGCAAGCACCAATAATTTCCGGGGCCAAAGTTAAGTTCGTAGTATGATCATATAATTAAATCACGTTGTACATACCTGAGAACCAAACTTATGGGCAGCTTCACCATCAAGCACAGGTGGGATAAGTACCGCATGGCCAGGCCAACGCTCATTGACCTTATAAAGTGTCGCATAGTCCTCCGCAATCACAAGCACCATATCTTGACGATTTTGCCTAGCGATGCTTATCAACCAGTTATTAAGAAAAGCCAAGTAGGGTTGGCTCACAATACAAACTATCACCGTCCCATTCTTGGCCACAAAAGGCAGCGCTTGTGCCAATGTATAGTGACGCCACTTGGAGATCGCCGGTTCGGAAGCTGAGAAGATGCCTTGGGGCAAGTCCACCCAGGGCGAGAAGACGCCAAACACCACAACGAGACACAAGAGGACAAGAAGCGCAATAGGGCTGAAAATCGAAATCCGTTTCTGGGAATTCGTCGAGGATGGAGGGGAAAAAGGGAATCGATTGGTGAAAGGATTGTGAATTGTTCTTTGATGAAGTAAGGATGACATCGCCGAGAATTTGTCGGGAAAATTGGGGAAATGATACGAAAGCCTAGATTGCAATGTACAGAAGAAGAATAAATTGCAAAACTTTGATTGAAATTAAGAAACTTTGAAGTGCAATAGTGCAGCTGTAGATTAGATTTCAGATCTGAACATGGAAACTAGCTAGCGCGGTTCTCAGATGAGCCATGGTTTCGATGAGTACAGTTAAAACTCGTACTAGTTATTTTTTATTTGATAAACAAACCATGACTAAATCGGTTGGAAAAAAATCAGGTCTAAATCAAGTGCTTTTCATTCAATTACTTCAAATTATGTTTTTGTGTGTGTATTTTGCCAACGAAAATTATGTTTTATGGCTGCATCTTAATTAGTTTTTATCATTTGACTTATTCTATTAATTTTATCAATCTATTCAATTCAATTTTTAGCCATTTTTGCTTCTAGTAAATTTTATAAAAATAAAATTAAAATCTCCATGAAGTTATAATTAGAGATGTTTACGGGATAGAATGGAACCGGGACAATCCCATCCTAATGAACAGAAACAGGACAAAATTTTTGGTCCGTGTCCCGTCCCATTCCGAAAGTGTCCAAGTTCCAAACGGAATAGGACACAACCGGGATGGGACCGAGACGTCTCGCCACTTTCTTCTTCTTCCTTTTTTTTCTGTGAAAAGATAATAAATAAAAAATGAACTAAAGCCGAGAGAAGAAGCATTATTTAAGAAATTAACCATGCCAAGGGACAAAATCAGTACCAATTTTCATTAGATCTGAACCAATTCATGAGAATCATAAGCAAAGAAACAAAACAACAGAGAATAATTAATATTTTCAGCGCCTCAAATCAAAGCATCTAACGCAATTTCTTCACACATCGATTAGCCGCAAAAAAATCCTAATACCTAAGCTTGAAATTTCTAGCTTGGGAGAGAGAAGGAGAAGGCGTGACGGAGACTGATAGAAGAACAGAGTGCAAGCGTGTAGCCAAGGCTGAGCGATGATAATGACGAAAGCTTGTGTCTTTAACTCACTGCTATCTGAATCTTTCATGGAGCCACACGATGATGATGAAGAGAACTTGAGAAGTGAAGGTAAAGTGAACAACAAGGCAATGGAACTAGCTGATGGATGGGAGAGAGCCGAGGAGATTGGCACGACGCAACCTATTGTGAGTCTACAACTTGCGATTGGGAGATAGCAACAGCAAGGGAAGGGGATGAACAGCAAGGCGGCGACTCTAAGAGTGGAGATTGTGAGGGCCGAGGGCTTGGGTGGGGAAAAGACAATGAAGCAATTTTTTTTTTTTTAAATGAGAGGAGTATCATATTAAATGTCTGGAGTAAGTTTAAAAATATTATTATCTATATACATATATATATCCAGGACGGGATCGGGACGGGATGACCCCGTCTCGCATCCCGTCCCGTCCAAGTTTTATTTTCTGTCTTGTCTCGAAAAAATTTTTGGACAAGCCTGTCCTGTCTCAATATGATCGAAATCGAGACAAGTAATTTTGAACACCCCTAGTTGTAATATTTTGTGTATATTTTGACACTCAAATTACAGGTTTAAATATGCATGTAAAACATTTTATGTACAGCTTAAGCCATTAATGAATTAGAGATCTTTTTATCCATATTTGGTCACATCTTTTTGACACTCCATGTTTCTCTCGTTCATCATCATAAGGTTTTCTATACAATGCAATGGTTGTACTTGGTGTCAAAATTGTCCATCCTCCGGTTGCCTCATCCCTCTATCCTTTTTTTGATTGTTTCATCATATTTCCATCACCTAGCCATGGCCAATATATAACAATAGTGCCTTTAATGCAGAGCCATCTTAGCTTGTTAGCTTTGAGACAAAATCACTTGAGGTGAAGAAATCAAAGGAAAAGATGGTGGGCAAGGAGGATGGGGGAGATATAGCTTCAACATTAAGGAGGCATTGCCATTATGTCATTCAGAAGGCATCATAGTAGTAAATGAGGCTATAAAGACTATTTCGTGCATCCTTTTTTATCTAAGCTTTTAGCATGATAGCTAGCATTTTATTCTTAAGGTTTGGTATGAAAGACTGCACGAGTTCAAATCTCACTTCTATTGAACATATTCAAAGATGAATCTTGTTTAAGATAGTGGATCGGGTTTTGCTAGGTGGCACATCCATTGTAAATCGGACTTACCTTACCTTATTGATATGTGCCGATTAAGATGTGATATCAAGCCCACTCATTCTTAAGCTTTTAGCATGATGGCTAGCATTTCATTCTTAAGACATCCATTGTAGATCGGACTTACCTTACCTTATTGAGATGTGACGATTAAGATGTGATATCAAGCCAACTCATTCTTAAGCTTTTAACATGATAGCTATTTTTGATTCTTAAGGTTTGGTATCAAAGACTGAACGAGTTCAAATCCCACTTTTATTGAACATATTCAAGGACGAATCTCATTTAAGATAGTGGATTAGGTTTTGCTAGGTGGCACATCTATTGTAGATTGGACTTACTTACCTTATTAAGATGTGACGATTAAGATGTGATACCAAGCCCACTAATATGAGTCATCCTGATACAAGTGATACAAAACCATAACTATTGTAGATCAAACTTACTTTGTTGGGAGTATGCTTGGGTAGTAAAATGTGTAGTGTGAGTAAAGTTCACTTGATACAAGAAGTCCCACTTTAGATAGAATTTGGCCTAGTAAGTTGACTCGATTAAGATGTGATACCAAGCATACTCATATGATTCCTCCTGATGCAAGTGATACAAAACCACATTTATTGTAGATCAAACTTACCTTGTTGGGAGTATGCTTGGTAGTAAAATGTGTAGTGTGAGCAAAGTTGACTTGATACAAGAAGTCCCCTTCAAATAGAATTTGGCCTAGTAAGATGTCCCACTTCTGATGGAATTTGGCCTAGTAAGTTGGCTCGATTAAGATGTGATACCGAGTATACTCATATGAGTCCTCCTGGTGCAAGTGATACAAAACCACCTTGTTGGGAGTATGCTTGGGTAGTAAAATATGTAGTGAGAGCAAAGTTGACTTGATACAAGAAGTTCCACTTTGGACAAAATTCGGCCTAGTAAGAGATATATAAGTAAAAACCAAAAGAACACATACACTCCTAATCTGAGGAGATGTGATGTCAAGCTTATCTATATGAATCTTCCTCCTGTTGCAAATTAAAACATATCATAGATACAAACTCTTGATGACCAAAAAAAAAAAAAGGACATTGATAAAACTAAACACAACCTTGATGAAGATATCTCTAGCTTGTCAGACTGATCATATTAATCCATGCTTTTAAGACACATGAAAATGATTAACATAAGGGTAATAGGGCAAAGTAACTCTATTTCAATTATCCACTATATATTTCTTAACCTTGTGTATCAATTAAAAGAAACATCACATTTATGTTAACACAATATGTGACCGTGTTATGATGGAAATAAAATATTTCTTAATGTTATTGATCCAAACAAAACCATAGCCACTCTCTAGCCCTTAAATAAAGACCAACCCTCCTTAGATGGAAGCTCTAAAATTGAGTCTGATCCTTCTGTTGAGTATAGTTCTACCTCTGACTTTGAAATGTATCATGCTGATATTTCCAGAGTAGCAATGGTCTACAATTAAAGATTCTTTTGACGAAGAACCATTTGTCCCTAATACATCTGAGCCTAGGAGAATAGATTACAAGCCAACCACTGGTCCATGATTCACTTTTGATGACTTTCCTCTAGAAAAATAGAGAGATAGACTCCATGACTTTGGAGCATGGATTGACTTGCAGCTTGCCAGGCATAATAGAAATCTTGAAGAAGTTCTCACTGAATTTCTCTCAAGATTGACGGGAACATTAAGAGAATAGTTTTAAAGTCTCAGTGATTACTAGCAGATAGAGGCAGCTAGAGTTGATAATGTAGGAACTCTTATCGGACTCATTCATAAGGAATTCATTAGTGATTTCCAGATCATTGACAAAAGGCAGCATCAAAAATACTTTAAAATGAAATGTTGTTCTTTATATAAAAGAGACTTGCAAAAGCATACTTGGATGAGCTAATGATGTCAATCTCAGGCATACTTTTATTGCCTCTCTTCCAAATGAGTTGCAACCAGAAATATGTCTGATATTTCTATAAGTGAAATATACCTGTTGGCATTGGCAATTGTGGACAAGCTCTATGAACAGTAGAAGTTCTTCAAAGGAATGCTGAAAGGACAATCAAAATTGAGGCATGCTTGCAAAAAAAACCCCATCTAAAGATAAAGTGCAAAGTCCATAAGGATTGCTCTTGTTCTACCAAGAGAAAATCTTATTATCGTCGATTCAGATATCCATACAGTTCTTATTCCAGAAGAAGATTTAGAAAGTCATTCCTGAGGTACGTCAAAAAGTGTAGGCCTTATTCAAAGAAATCTAACAGGTGCTATTTGTGCAAGAAAAAATGATATTTTGCAAAAAAATTATCCTAACAAGACAAAAAGAGAGAGGTGAAGATGCTACAACACTTGTAGATTGTTTTAATGATCAATGAAGATGAAGATATCGAATCTGTCATTGAAGAACAAGATGCTCAAGATAAAGAAACACAATATCTTCTTCCTTTCTCTGAAAATGAAGAAACTGATTTTGAACCTTCATCCCAAGAAGATAATAGTCCTCAAGGGTATTTATATTCCCTTGAACAACCCATGTATACCTTGAAATATAACCCATCTTTCTTTCGTGCCCTTTCTCCTCAACCAGGACACAACAAAGTTATCCCAAGCCAAATGTTAAAATCCATATCCTTCCAGGAAGATATGAAAAACCAATTCCTGTTATTGCTTTCATAGATACTAGAGTTTGCAGAACTATCATGAATCCTGAAGCATGGACTCCTTGTGACCAATATTTCCTTACTGCTGATTCAAATACATTCAAGATTGAATAGATTACATGAAGGAAGATTGGTATTCAATTCTTTCCCGGATGTGTTCCATGGATGAATTCTTGGAAGTGATCTCCCTAGAAAAGATATCATTATTTATCATACTAAGAATATTCAAGTATTACCTAAAAGAATTAGATATAAAAATTTCTTTAGTACATATACTAAAATTCCTAATCTGTTTGAAATCCAAAAAGCACCACTAAGATATGAAGGCATTCGAGATCATCTTCTTAAGTTTTGTGATGACAGTCATCAACTTCAAGCAGAATGAAGATATTAATCCCACAAAAGCTTCTCATCCAAGAATGAATCCAGAAGATCTCAAGCTTGTTAAAAAAGAATGTTTTGCACTACTTAAACAAGGCCTTATTAAACAAGTGTTCTATGTTGAAAAAAGATCAGAAATCAAAAGAGGAAAGAAAAGGTTGGTTATTGATTATAAACCTCTTAATATTTTCCTCCAAGATGACAAATTTCTTTTACTAAAGCCTAGTTCATTTACAGTCCATCTTAGAGATGCGAAGATCTTTTCTAAGTTTGATCTTAAAGCTAGTTTTTGGCAATTGAGTATCCACCCAGAAGATCGGCCCAAAACTGCTTTTTGTATACCAAATGCCCAATATCAGTGGATTGTTATGCTATATGGGCTCAAAGTCGCCCCATCACTGTTTCAAAAGGTCATGACTAGAATCTTTTGAACCTATACTTGATAACCTCCTTATTTATATTGACAACTTTTTACTCTTCTCAAAGGATGAGGATTCCCATAAACTTTTATTGTCCTAATTTGGAACAATAATTAAAAAATATGGGATTATGTTGTCGGCAAAGAAAGGAGAGACAGGTGCATTTTGAAAATGGCCAATATTATCCTGGACCACATATTGCAGAAGAAGTGCTCAAGTTCCCATATGATAATCTTACAGTAAAGCAAATTCAACAATTTCTGGGAATTATTAATTATCTTAGGGATTTTATCCCTCATGTGTCTAATCATACTAGCCAGCTATCCAAACTTCTCAAAAAAAATCCTATGGGGGACAGAGCAAACTTAAGCTATCCAAACTCTTAAAAGAATTGCACAATATCCATCGCTTTTAAAGATTCCTGATAAAGGATTGCAAATCCTGTAGACTAATATTAGTGATGACTTTTAGGGAGCTGTCTTAATTGAAGAAATAAATGGAAAGAGGTTCTACTGTGG